TTTCTTTCTTCCACCACAACAACTTCTCTTCCCTGTGCTTTCATCCCTGGCAATATCATAGCTGCTCCTCCAGGTAATAATATTTTTATTTCTTCTTTTGAACACCTTCTCTTCCCTGTGCTTTCATCCTTGGCAATATAGCTGCTCCTCCAGGTTTTTTGATTTTTTTTTTTTGTTTATATTTGGGTATTTTTTTTGCTTATGCAAAGTTTTCTGATTTTCTTATGGTATGGGATTGTTTACTAAAATGATTTGGGTTTCATTGGAAATCACGAAGGTTGGAATTGGAAAAACAGAAAGCACTGATGTATGGGTTATATGGATTTGGCTACTAATTGGTCTTTGTTTTGTATGGTTTTGGTTAAGTTATTCTATTTCGTTTTTTGGTTGAAAGTTTATCTAATTCAGGTTTGATATGTTCTTACGAGTTTGGCTTTTGGTTTAAGCATTGCTGCAGTATTCTTTGCTATTGTTTACCAATGTCCCATTGACCAATATTTTTGTTATTTTTTGCTTTAATAGATGAAAATTTAGAGATGGGAAGCCCATAAGGACTCGGGACATATGAATTTACGGAAGATACTAATGAAAATAATTCAGAATTAGTTTTCAATCCTCAAGTATAGAAAACCAGCATGTACCAAAAATTGGTCAAGAGTTTGAATCACCTGAGGATGCCATAACTTCTATAACAACTATGCAAAACAAGCGGGATTTAGTGTTTGAAGTTATTGTCAGCAAAGGAGTAAAATTGCTAATGAGATCTTAAGAAAATAACACGTGTGCTACAAAGACGGACTATATTCCAAAGAAGTTTCTAATGGAAGTGAAAGGCGGTGAGGTGTAGTACGAAGTGGGTGTAAGGTTAAGATTGCGGTTCTGAAGATAAAAGAAGGAACAACACATCAACAATTTAGTCTTCTTGAAGTGCAAGCAGGAGGGATGTAAAACATTGGATATACAAAGAAAGATTTATATAACTACAAAAGACAATTGGAGAGAAAGATGAAGGGGCATGATGCAGAGATGTTGAGTGAGCATTTTATTGGTGAGCAAGCAAAAAATGAATCATTCTTTTTTATGATAGAGGCTGACAATGATGATAGGCTTAAACATTGTTTTTGGGCTTATCCAACATCTAGAAGAGCCTATAAGTTTTAAGGTGATGTGATTGTATTTGATACCACATGCAATACTAATCAATATGGTATGGTATTTGCCCCATTGGTAGGGGTTAATAACCATGGTGAAACTATTTTTTTGGTTGTGGGTCCTTGAGCAATGAGATCACTAAGTCTTTTCTTTTGGTTGTTTGAGCAATTTAAGAAAGCTATGCCTGCTGGTCCACCCAAAATAATTATTACAGATCAGGATCCAGCCATGGAAATGCTATTTCACAAGCTTTTCCAGGTGTGTTTCATAGATATTGCATTTGGCACATTTTGGATATGTTTTCTCAAAAGATAAACACTTGCATATAAGGATGAAAATAAAGAACTTCGAAGTTGTGTGTGGGAATTAGACACAAAGGAAGAATTTGAGTCAAAGTGGATGGATGTGGTCCACAAAGGTAAACTAAATGATGATGAGTGGCTATCTTCTCTTCAATCTATAGAATATGTTCAAGATGGGTGCAAGTATATGTGAAAGATATTTTTAGCAGGAATGTCAAGTAGCCAACGAGTAGAGGGTGTTCATGCATTTTTTAAGCTATATATTTTATACTACGGTTTAATAGGATGCTTGCCAAGCAACGTCATGAAGAGATAATTGCTGATCATGTTGATATCAATGAGCAGCCTATGTTGAATCTCCATTGATAATGGAGAAGCAAATGACTACCATTTCTACAAGTTTCAAAAAGAGTTGTGGAAAATGTTTGGCATGTGTACTTCAACTTGCGAAAGATGATAACAATTTATGCTTCTATAAGGTAATGGAGAGGAAAAAAGATGGTAGCTTCAAGTTGAAGGTGCGATAAGTCATGGTTGACAAAGTTGCATACTATGCTTCATGTATATGTAAGAAATTTGAATTTGAAGGAATCTTGTGCAGGCATGTGTTGACATACATGAAAAATGAAACAAATTGAGTATTTTCCAAATAAATATATATTAAAGAGATGGACAAGAGCCGCAAAATCTGACATAGTTGTGGAAGAGGTTAGAGGGGAAATAACTGAATGTGGTGATAATTCATTATTAATTAGGCAAACAAGACTGTCTAAACCCTATGGTGCCTTGGTATCTCAAGAGGCAAGTAAAGTTCTACTAGAAAATATATAATTTCTTATTTCTCATGAAGCTGAAATTTTGTACTTGTAAGTTGTACCCACAACGTCAATTATTGTTGTAGCTTAAATTCCTTTGTCTTGTAATGGAGTCTTGGGACCATCTACTTCAATCATTTCTCTGTTCATATATTTTCTAAACTTTTGAAGATATCGTATATACAGACTTTGCAAATCATCCAATGAAGGCATGACTCTTCGAATCATATCAGGAGATCATAGTTAGCTTCAATATCCCCATCTGCAAATGAAATATAGTCAGTAATTGTAAACATTAGGTAAATACATAGTATAATTAAACAACAGATCAGCCAAGGTTATATAAAAAAATCCCACCCAGCACTACAACACCTCACGAAATTGAAAACGAAACAAAAATGAACCAAGTTTAAGTAAAAGCCAAACCCAAATCAGCGAGGAAATGACATATTGCATATGCAGAGTCACATATAGCAATTGATGAAAGCATCGGATGAAATCATAGGGAAGTGGATTGGAGGTGTAAGCACTGGAAATTTTGGCTCTGACGGAAAAACTGAAAAGTTTTGATATTTACCACGATGTGAAAACGAGTTCTCTCAATCAAGTTTCAAATCTACAGCGTAAAAGTAATCTAACGGCCACAAATAGAACTCCGCATCGACTCTGCACAGTTGCACTTCGTAACCCAGAAAGTCCCTGTATATGTTACCTCTAACGTTAAAAACGTTATTAACATTTTGATTTATTAGGGAAGTGCAAGACACTTGGCTAATTACTTTCGGACGTGCGCATGCCCTAAATTGAAAAGGAGCAACTTTCTTCAATTAATAAAACAAGTTGGCTTTTGTCCCAAAACAGAAAGAAAGTTAGATTGAATATAAAAACAACAAGGAAGAAGAAAAAGAAGGAGAATTTGGCAAGTACTTTCCAAAGCGGAATCAAGAATTTTCATAAGTTCCTCGTTTATTATTTGCGAATGGTTTAGCTGATATTATTATTATTATTATTATTATTATTATTATTTTTTTTTGAAGTTGCTCAGTTGGAATGAGCCAATTTGTTTTTGTTCTTAAAAGCTGTGGAACGAGTTAAGTTTAACCGAGATAGGATAGAATAATTTCCACCGAATATAGGATGAACTTCCCTAAATTTAACAAGAATGCACAAAAGGCAGATAATGGTGAAACATTCAAAATACCAGAAAATGCCCTTGGTTAATTCAAACATTAAGAATTGAAATTATTAATTAAATGGCGATAATATGGTAAATTCACATTTTTTTATTAAAAAAATAAAAATAAAAACAAAATCAGATAATAGGTCATACTTTTATGGAACATAACTACCCATTCTTAATTCTAAAAATAAAATAAAAAAGAAAAAAGAAAACCAATTGGCACATGTGCCAAGCATGTGCCAAGGGGCTAGTATATATAAAGCAAAAGGCAAAGAATGGTGAAACATTCAAAATACCCAAAAATGTCCTTGGTTAATACAAACATTAAGAATGGAAATTATTAATTAAATGAGGATAATATGGTAAATTCACACTTTTCATATTTAAAAAAATTAAAATTAAAAGAAAAATCAGATAATGGATCCTATTTTTATGGAATACAACTACCTATTATCTTTTTTAATTCCAAAATAATTTTAAAATTTTTATTTAAAAAAAAACAAAGCCAAGCGCGTGCGTAGATGCTAGTGATAAGAAAACAAAAGGAGGAAAGATAATTGAGTGATTTTCATGATTATCATAACTAATAAATAAAAATAAAATTTACTTGGCATTAGAGATTTAATTTAATTTAAGTAATTAATGAAACATAATCTCAACCATTCAATCCATTCTAATCTAATGGTTGAAAATTTGTGGCAAGACTTGTGTCAAAAATATAGTGCCACAGATCTGCTCCATATATATCCCCATTTATCTAGGGATTCCTAAAATAATTTTATTCGAGGGACACATTTTAGGGTTCTGTACAAATTTTTTTTCCACGTTCCAAACTGTCTATTTTTCAAGTGTTCATTCATAAATCATCCTTGCAAAAAATGAGGCAAATTGAAAATTAAGACATCTAATTGGGACAAACAAAATAGACTAACATGGTATTTCAAGAAAATACTATAATAACAACCATCTAATTGAATAGTTAAATGATTTCGGATTCAAGTGATGATTTGCAGAGATTATTTTTGTAGGAATATCTAAAAACTAGATGGTTTTGATTATTGAAATACAATGTTTAATGTACCATGTCCATACACTAGAAAACGTCATGGCCGGCGGTGCTTGGTAACAATATCCAAATTTACTAAAAAATTGTAGGTGGCATAATATCCCCACATTTCTGTAAAAAATAAAAAGCAAGTTTTTTTTAGCGAGATCCTAGATAATTAGAATATTTATTTCCTAGTATATTAGGACTCTATTTCGTTCATTTTGTACAGATATTGTGTAATTTTTATGTTATCTTATTTCCTAGTTTGACCCTACTAGGGTTACATTCTTGTATTAAATACCTCATTTTAGAGAATGAAATACAACCTGAAAATATTCTACCCATATTGTTTGATTTGGCATTAGAGCCTATTTTATGGTAACATGTGTATTGTGCCCACTTGTGTTGTACTGTGTGCCCTAATTTCTTTTAGTGTTTTCTCTTGTGCCCGTGCATGTGCCGTGTTTGTCTTATCTGCATCGTGTTGTGTTTCCGCTGCTATCATGGGTGATGATTCCAAAGTTGTGGTGCGTTCTAGTGCTTCTGAAACAAAGGAGGAACGTCATTTGCATGATTTCTCAACCCCTATTACTCCTGACAAATTGGATGGCTCCACTTATGCCTCTTGGTCTCGTGGTGCATGCCTTACGATTACTGGTCGTCATATGGCAAATTGGATCAATGGGAAGAAGACTCCGTCTCCAGACTCTGTTGCCTATACAGAATGGGAAAAAGATAACTACTTGGTGCAGTCATGGCTTCTCAATTCCATGACTAAACTAGTTCGTGCTTGTTCGAACGTGGTGCTACTTCCTTTGATATATGGGAGGTTGCTCGGAAGACTTATATTGTGACTCAGAATAGTTCTCGGTTGTTTCAACTATGACGGCAGTCCGTACTTACATGTCAGAATGGTGAATCTGTGAAAGTGATTTATGAAAGACTCCTTGCTATCTAGCAGGAGATTAATTGTCTGCTTCCAAATGTATTTAATTGTTCTGTTGATGTAGCTCGTCGTCAGAAAGAGATTGAAGCCAATCGAGTTCATGATTTTCTAGGAGGACTTGATTCGCAGTATAATGGTGTTTTTAGTAGAAGTCTTGCTCTCAATCTTGTCCCGCCTCCTCTAGAAGCTTATGTCATGGTCATGGAGGAAGACACTCGTCAGTCTGCTATGCTCGGGGGAGGTGCGATGGCCCTAAAAATGGATCCTGCTCGTAACTGACCGACTGCCCGTCAAGATACAACCGGTTGCCCGTCATCTCACAAGCTCGCATCTTCTAATGGTTCTCGTCCTTTTGAAGGTCCTCGTAAGTGTTATCATTGCAATGGTGATCATTACTTTGAAAGCGTTTTAAAGAGCATGGTTACCCTGATTGGTTTGTTGACTACAAAGCTCGTATGTGTAGTCCCAAGACCGCTTGCACTATGACCCAAGACAATGCCAATCCTCAGGCCCCGTCTGCAAATTTGTGTGCTTCTAAGACTATGCCAGGTATGGGCTTCAATACTTGGTTAATTGACACTGGTGCTTCTGATCATATGACTTGTGATATTAATCTGTTTGATGAGTTGTCTCGTACCCCTCGTGACCCATATATTATTAGTGCTAATGGTTTACCTTCTCACGTTACCCGTGAAGGTACCATCCACCTTACCCCTTCTTTACCCTTGTTTCGTGCACTCTTGGTTCCAAATATTTGTTGCAATTTATTATTTGTTGGTCGTTTGCTTGATACACTTAATGTTTCTGCTACTTTCTATTCTATCCATTTCTCTTTTCAAGATCTCAAGACTCACGAGATGATTGGGCATGGTAAACAGAACGGGGGATTGTATTACATAACGTTACCGACTGCAGCAGTTCGTGATTGTGTTGCTAATAAAATTCAGAGTGGCAGTATCAAAGACAAACAACAATTTTGGTTGTGGCATCGTCGCTTAGGACATCCATTATTTGGCTATCTTAAGCATTTGTTTCCTTCGTATTTAGTTCGTGTGATAAGTCTAGCTTCAAATATGAGACTTGTGTAATGGTCAAGAGCTATCGTACTGTTTTTCCTTTAGTACATTCAGATGGGCCCCTGCTCGTGTGACTTCTAATGGTTTTTGTTGGTTTGTTACATTTATTAATAACTGCACTCGCTTAACCTGGGTGTATTTGATGAGAATAAACATGATGTTGCTTCTATTCTTCCTGAATTTTGTGCTATGTGTCTACTCAGTTTCATGTTTATGTCAAAGTATTTCGGACTGATAACGGAGGTGAATATGTGAATAATACCTTGACCCATTTCTTCATGATCAAGGCATTATTCATCAAACTACTACTCCATTCACTCATCAGCAAAATGGGGTGTCTGAATGCAAGAATCGTCAGTTACTTGAAGTTGTCTGCTCCTTTATGTTGGACATGTCTGTTCCCCATCACCTTTGGGGCCATGGTGTTTTGGTCGAGGCCTATTTGATTAACTGTACTTCTAGTCAGGTTCTTGATTTCAAGACTCCGCTTGATGTGTTGTGTGCCCATACATCTCTAGTTTCTATCTCTAAGTTGACTTCGAAGGTGTTTGGGTGTGTTGGTTATGTTCATGTATACTCCCATCAATGGAGTAAACTTGATCCATGGGCTTTACGCTGTGTCTTCATTGGTTATTCTACTACTCAAAATAGTTATAAATGTTATCACCCTCCTACTCAGAAGATGCATATTACTTTGGACATAACTTTTCATGAAGAAGTGTCGTATTATGTATTTCCATGTTTTGCAATTCAGGGGGAGAGAGAGAGTGAATTGGAGAGTCTCAGATTTAAGGATCTTAGACTTAATGATGTAGGTGAGGATAGTATAGATGTTGCTCTCGGAGAGAAAACGACTGGTCGCCCATCTAATAGCGACTGGTCGCCCAAGTCTGGAGCAGAAGATGATGCTCTTGGCTTTGAAATGATCAGTCGCGAAGATGGTCACGACCGGTCGCCTAGCTATGAAACTGAGAATTATGCTCTCTGTGACAAAACGATCGGTCTCCTTGAGTAGTGCGACCGGTCACCTGGGTCAATTGATGCTGTTAATCGTGTTACCTATAAGTCATGAACATAAATTAGAATATTAACTATAAGTTATGAACATAAATTAGAAGACTACCTGTAAGTCAGACACAAAAACAGACAAATAAAATTGTATGTTACCTATAAAAAAAAAATGTACATAAAATACTATTATTCATTGTCTAAAATACAAAGAAAAAAAAACACATAGATATACCTATGCAATAGGCAATAAGCAATAGGACAATATACCTACACCATAGGATAATATATCTATGAAAATATATACTATACCTCTACCATAGGGTGAACAAAAGTAAAAATAATTACCTACAACTTTTCGAAGAAAACGGAAGGGAAACGGAATCTTGTAACATGGAATGCTATGATCCCGGGTCACATTCATGTTAAATAAAATCTTGCATGTGCAATAATAAAATCCATGTTAAAAAGGAATTTGCAATAGTCAAATAAAAAAAATGAAGGACCAACAGTTACATTCAAAATGTAATTATTCATTTAATTGTACATGATCAAATCTAATCATTAATGACCAATCATCTTACCCATTTTAGACAATAGGGATATAATAGGAGCAAAAAATTTAAATACAAAAGTTTGAATCAACTTGTTAAAAATAGAATGTAATTTACATGACAAACTAGTCAAAGAACTTATATCAACAAACAATAATTCGAGACTAAACCCAACTATTGGTTGGATTTTTTAACCACTTTTCTACATATTATATGCATGCTTTTGATACAAACAAGACATATATATATATATATATATATAAACAATCATGCTACTATTAAAGATAATGGCATAGTTAATGGATGTGGTAACACTAATATTCAAATTTGACTAAGATAATCAAAAGTCAAGCGTCTAAACACGTGAGCAGCCTCCTTCTCTATCAACTCCAACTGCCCTTTGAAGATGTGCATGTACACAATCCAGTCACCTTTCCTAGCCGGACTCGGCATTGGCATCACATACCCGGCATTGCCGCCCCACGGGAAATGGTACGACCCGAAAACCGGCAGTCCCCACCCGAAATCCACCTTCGAAACAGGAAATCTTAGCCCCGATGACACGACAAAAGCAGGCCCCTCTTCAATCCCACTGCAGTATATCTTGGCCAAGGCTGGCACCGGTTTATGAACCTCAACCCAATCTATTAAACCCAAAAAATGCTCCTTTGTTAGAGCACATTTCAAAAAATCATGGACTTCATCAGCTACCCAATTCAACGACTTTTCAACTAGGTCTTCCACTTTTTCTCCCCCAAATGGAATGGATAGCACATTTCCAAAGTATGTAGCCATATGTGAGGCTTGGTGACTTCGGTAATTTTCTCGCTCACTTAATCTTGTACGTCCATAAAAAACAATGCCCATTTTGCATAATTTTTGGGCACAACCAATTTTAGTGTCAGATTTAGCCACCATCTTCCACAAGAATGCACAAAATGATTCGAGCTTGGTCCTTTTGAACCCATTGGAGCATGCAAGGGCTTGCAGATTATCAATTTGCTCAGCGGTGACGTAGTATATGCGACTGATGAGATGGTCTTGGTCAACATCAGTGTCGTTTTTGGGAGGTGGCAGAGCTGTGATAGGCACGTACATGTCGTTTAGGGAGGGATCAATGTGACCAGGACGACGAGGGTTGAGCAAAGAACGACGAAAAGTTGGTAGAAGAGAGAGTGATTTCGACTGAGCCATCTCAGCCCATGAGACCAGAAACATGTTGGTCGAGTAGGCATCTGCTATGCGATGATCAAACGAGCATGCCACCACCATTCCTCCACACTTGAGCTCAGTTGCCTGAAATTCATTTTGTTTCCATAGTTTTAGGATATTTTGTTATAACGTAAATATGATTTTAACTAAGGTTTTGTGTTTGCAATTAATGAGTCAAGTTTTTCTCGTGGCATTCGATATAACTAAGGTTCCCAAAGTCAAGTTCTAGCTAGTCCAGATTTTATCTATGTTGACATAACATGACCTATCTAGAGAGACGGATACCTGGACAGCCAGCACCCCATGCTTCTTCTTGGGAACCAATTTGCCCTCTATGCTCTTATCAGGGTCATAAAGGTTAAGGTCCTTAAGCTCAACATCTGCAAAGGCTTCGAAAAAATCGACACCACGGTTGTTGCACATGATCTCAGGCTCCCCAACAGAGTTTTGCACCACCTCACCAGAGAAGGCATAGAAAGTGACCAAAGCTTGGGCCATGGCCTTTCTCAGAACCCCAACCATAGATCTATGGCTTCAATTTACATTATATAGAGACAATTGCTGCTTCCACATTGTGGGTGTGATTGACACTTGTATGGCTTCAATCTTTTGTTTTCTCTGGTCCTTTTCTGTATACTATTTTATAGTTATTTTATTAGTTTGGCAGGAGTTTGGCCAGAGTCAGAGAGCTTCAGTGATAAAGGATTAGGGCATGTGCCAAAGGAGAGTGAAGATGAAATCTTGGAATATAGGTGTTTAAATGTGTAAAATTTAGTTCAATCACTTGTTTCTTTATTTCAATTAAGGCATGTATTATGTCTTTCATTCCTCATAATATTTTTTTTTCATCCAAAAGAATATTTATATGTTTTCAATTCAGGATCATAACTGTTTGTATGTAGGTGTGCTTGAATCATGGAATAAGGTTTTGCATTTCAAGGAAGCCGTATTTATATACAAGTCACTGGAAGACTTGAAAGCTGCATTCAAACACCTTATTTGGTTGGAAGAGGGCTTTGAGGACTATTGATATAGGATATATCTTAATCTTAGGATTGTAATGAGTTTTTGGAATTTGTTACATTGGTCTTTTCCTAATGATAATATATATTATTTTTCGGACAACAATTTCTCATTGGAAATATTTTTTATATTTCTTTTACAAAATATTCATACATTCCGACGACTTTTTACTCTTGATAATTGCTATAAATGTAGTCGGAAAAACATTTTTTTCGACACACTTCGATGTTGGAAATACACAATTCCGATAAATTATATTGATCACAAATAGTAATTTAGGGTCGGAAATACTATTTTTGACAAATAGCCATTGGTCGAAAATATATAGCGTTGCATAACAAAAGATCTCGAGAAAAAACTATTTCCGATTGTTGCATAAGTATTTGCGACCACACTTATGGTTGTAAATGAATTTGTATAGCCATTTTGTAAATTCATTTCCGACAGAAATTCAAGCAATATCAACGAAACATGGGCGTTGGAAATACATTATTTCCGACGGACTGGTCGGAAAAAAACTATTTGCAACCAGCGTTTTTCCGACGACTTCCGACGGCAATTTGCCGTCGAAAAAGGGCATTTCCGACGGCAAAACGCCTTTTTCGACCATAAGTTGCCCTCGCTAAAGGCATTCTGTTTTGTAGTGAGACCAGAAGCTCATTCTCTGCTCATTTTTGTAGCAGAAAAACACCCCCACGTCCACAGGAGGCAGAAGCAAGTCAAGGTTGGAGAGTGGCAGCCAATGCTCTTGCAATGGCAAGGCCGCAGCCACCACTTCCTGCTTGCTCACGGTCACCTTGAACTCTCCTCTCTCCATGTTTGATTATTTGAGTGCTATATTGTTTGATATTTTTGTGAGCTCGACGGGAAGAGAGGAGGCAATTTATAAGCAGCCAATAGGCTCAAGACGTTTAAAACGAGAATTTTCTAGCAAGACTAGATAGCCAACTACCCTCCTGTTGGGATTAAAAAGACAATAAAAGCCCTCAAAACCTGGAAGATGTTTTGGTATTGTACGGCGGAAAAATTGTTCACAGTTTGGTAGTTTTTATTAAATTTTTTCGTACAAGCGATAGTCTAAATTATGAGGAGAGAACTTTTGTGAGAGCTTTTCATCTCTCATTTGTGAGAGCTTTGCATCTCTCATTTGTGAGAGCTTTGCATATGTTCTTTGATAGAGTTTTATTTGTATTGTTATAGTTTGGTTTTTTCAAGATTTAATTTATTATTATTATTTTGAGCTTGCAATATTAGTTAAGATGCCTATGTAAAAGTTTCTTCGATCATGCGTGATCGTTAGTGGAGGCGCACCAGATTGTTTTAATTTTGAGGTTAGACCGCTCTATTATTGTAATGATCCTTTATGACTAGTTTTAATGACTTTTTTAACTGAATTAGAAAGGCAATTTTAAAATTTCTATTTTTTAAAAAATAAATAAAAAAACTATTAAAAGAGAATTTCCCACACATACTTGTGGTACTTAATAGTCAAAAACAATGACAAAGTATTTGAGTATATTCTTGCCTGCCACAGTTTATTGGACTATTAGAACAAAGTCAATGTGCTGTGGATTCTTTCGTTAGCAAATTGGGCCTCGAGGACTGTGGCGTGGGGATTCTATCCCAGTCCAGACCCACTGAAATGTGTGCCTCGTGTGTCGATTCTTGCTTTAACAAACAATGCCCATTTTACCTCAGTTCTACAACCGACCATACAAATGGTACTAAATTTTTCTATAAAAAAGGACAGTTGTGAAACAAATTGGTTCACATAATGGGATAATTAACATTGTGAGCAATTTAAACCCCAAAAGAAGAAAATGTAGCTTAGGCCAGTTGGTGAAGGTGGTGAGTTTACCTTCTTACACCTAAGTTCAAGTCCCTCTTTATATAAATTAAATTAATTTAAAATAATTTAGATTAACGCTTGTAATTCAAAAAAAGAAACCCTTTAACTAACTAGAGATATAACCAACATTATACCATATGTCAGTTATACTAATTTGTGATACTAGGAAAATCAATGCATAAAATTAGGTAACCTAGTATAGTAAAGGGATGATATTATTATTATTATTATTAGGTATATTAGAGGATAATGTTGCATAATTTGGTTTTTAGGTAATAATCAATGCCGATATTTGGCGTTCCCGCATTGTATGTGCTCATCACCAAGAATGTGTCAATTTTTGCAAAAATTTTACAACTAAGAAAACTC